CCACTTTTGAGCATATAGTAATCTCACTGCAGTTGTCATATATAAAAACAAAGTTCCATGGCTTTTTTCTAGCTGTCTGTCCATTAATCCCAAAAGAAAAGTCTCTGGTTTCAATTGCACATTAGTCTTTAAAATCTTCTAAATTAATGTATTTATTTGTATCTAATTTTCTTTTTTTTTGGCTTTTTACATGTCCACCATACCTGATAAAATGTGCCCTCATGTTGTTGAGATTTCCAGCAAAGATTCGAAGTACCTTTATACATTCTAGACAATTTTTCTGGTGACAAATACCAATGATACATCATTTTATAAAAAAATTCTCTTTAAGGCTAGCCCATAATGTAAATTCCAATCCTTTCAACCACATATTTTCCCATTCATCCATTTGCATATTGTAGCCAAAATTTTTAGCCCATTTTATCATACATTCTTTCACTTGTTCTTCAGTCTCATATTTCAGCAAAAGTTTATACATTTTAGCAATAACATGTTCATCATTTGTACATAATTCTGTTTTAAGCTCAGTCTTGCATTGTTCAAAATCATAACATCTTTTATCCACTTTAAACCTTTCTGAGAATTGTACATAAGAAAACCATTGACAAGTATATGACATTGCCAACAAATCTAAACAGTTTTGATTATGGTTTGCTGATTGTGTCATATGAACAAAAAACCCTGATTTTTTTCCTTTTGGAACTATCTCAGGTGGAAACATATTTTAATTTCTCTAGTATTTGAAAATTGGTTATTGATTCATTGTGGTAAAAGGAACCGTTTAAACACTTTCATAGCCGAGTGCTTTAGGAATGTTCAGAATTACAATACCTTTCAGCCCTAGCCATAATGGCTTGGTCAGTGTAATATGATTTCTGGTCTAAAGACTTGGAGGACCCTAGGTTGTGCTCGAGCATGAAAAGTCAGCTCTTGGGGCTGCCTGCTGGAAGCAGGCACAGTAGAAGCCAAAAGGAGAGTTGGTGAGTTGGACTACAGCCAACAGTTAATGGCTGCCCTTTCTCTCTCTCTCTCTTTCTCTCTCTCTCACACACACATACACCCTTTCCAACTAGAGTTCTGAACTAATCTTACGCAGAAGGCTTTTGAAATTAGATTAAAGGTTACATACAGTTCGGGTTAAAGTCACAGATAATGTAATTCCCCCAAGCCCAGTTGATCAGGCAAACAGCTGTTGGGACAGGATGTTATCAGAAGCATATGTTCTGGTATGAGGAAGTGACCTTAGGAATATCATACAGTTTAATATGGTTTTCCATAGCTCTCCAACCAGCATTATAGAATATTTGTTGTTTTTTAAAAATATTCTTCTTTCAGTAATCGTTTACGAGAAGTAGAAAAATGTATACATTTAATATACAAAACTTATTTTTACAGTGGCCCATCCTCAGGACCCTCATCACTCCACAGAGAAGCCAGTCATCCACTGCCACAAATGTGGGGAGCAATGTAAAGGAGAAGTGCTTCGAGTCCAGGCCAAGCATTTTCACATCAAGTGCTTTACCTGCAAAGGTACCGTATTACATCTTATTGCTAGCCTCTGAGGCAATCAAATTGTTTGTATTTCTTTATTCAGAAGAGATTGGCTGGATCTCTTTTATGGGTTTGTGACTGGGTTTAGACCCATGAAGAAAACTATAGAGAAAGAACTTCACTTAAACGAACAGATAAAAGTATTCCTTATAGATTCTGTTCAGTCATGTCTGATTCCTGGAGACCACCTGGACAAGTCCCTGCAGTTTTCTTGGCAAGGTTTTTCAGAAGTGGTTTGCCATTACCTCCTTCCTAGGGCTAAGAGAAAGCAACTGGCCCAAGGTTACCCAGCTGGGTTTGTGCCTAGGCAGGTCTAGAACTCACTGTCTCCTGGTTTCTAGCCTGATGCCTTAACCACTACACCAAACTGGCTCTCTCTCTCCCTCTCTCCCCCTCTCTCCCTCTCTCTCCCTCTCTCCACCCAGAGTTACATGGTCTAGGTTGGGCAGCCATATAAATGCAGTACTACAGCTACTACTACTACTACTACTACTACTACTACTACTACAAATGTCAATTTCAGTAGTTTTCAAATACTTTCCCATTTGAAACTTTAGAGTTTGCATTAACAGGTTAACAGCTATAAGGGCTATCCAACCCCTTCAAAAAATATTTTACAACATGTGGGAGCTTGTATAAAATACTGCTTGGGCCATTGAAGCATATTTTTTCCAGAATGGCTAGAAAAGCTGTGGTTCAAATGAAGCTGGTTTGCATGTGCTCCCACATGTTATAAAATGCCTCTTTCAAAGGTTTGTACAGCCTTAATAAATACCATACACACAGACATGGACACAGACACACGTATATATGAGTCTGAAAATGTATCTAATAGACAAAACAAGCAGATTTGTCCAAATTTAGCAAAAGTCTTATTTGCCCCTTTGTTGAAAAACGGTTAATTCAAAGACTGGCAAAGAGCACATATCAGCAATCCAGTGAGGCATATACAGTATAGTATATTCAGTTGCACGCTAATAAATGTATAACTACTAGCTCTGCTGGTTCCATTGCCACCTTTGTGCCACTCCCAGCCAGACAGCTGATGGGCATACTGGGAGTCATGGCTCAGCTTTGTTCTCAACTGGCTCACAAAATTCCTGAAAATTTGACAGTTGGCTCTTGCGAGCCGGTATGAGTTGGCTCCAGCAGGCCACGGTTATAATTGTGAGTGAACTGTTGAAAATGACTGAGCAGTAATAGAAATCCATTCAGATGTTTATTAAGAGGTCTGTTTCGATCAAGCCTTTAGCTTACTCTTCAAATATGTTGTGAGTATATATAAT